TGTCTTCCATGTTTAAACTTAACTAGGATAATGAGGCTCTCCAAATCACCGTCGAGCGAATGGACGAACCTGCACATTGTCATGAGATTAATACAGATGAAGTAGTGGAACAACCTTGGTTTCACGAAATCAAAAGGTATCTCAAGACTCGAGAATACCCTGAAGGAGCTTCAGTCAACGACAAAAAGTTCTTAAGGAGATTTGCTGCCAAGTTCTTCCTAAGCAATGGTATCCTATACAAGCGCAACCATGATTATGTTCTGCTTCGTTGTGTGGACAAGGTTGAAGCTGAGCAGATCATGACTGAACTGCATAGTGGCACATTTAGCACCCACTTGAGCGGACATACGATGGCTAAGAAGATTCTAAGGGCAGGCTACTACTGGTCTACCATGGAAGCTGACTGTCATCAATACGCTCGTACTTGTCACAAATGCCAAGTCTATGCTGACAAGGTACATATTCCTCCAGTTCCTCTCAATGTCCTAACGGCTCCTTGGCCATTCACAATGTGGGGTATCGACATGATTGGAGAGATCAAGCCCACTGCATCCAATGGACATCGCTTCATCCTGGTGGCTATTGATTACTTTACCAAGTGGGTCGAAGCAGCTTCCTTCGCCTCTGTTACAAAGAATGTGGTTGCCCGCTTCATCAGGCTGAACCTCATTTGCCGGTACGGTATCTCTGACCGTATCATCACGGACAACGGTACAAACCTGAATAACACTGTGATCACCGCTCTGTGTGAGAAGTTCAAGATTCAATATCACAATTCATCTCCCTATCGGCCAAAGATGAACGGTGCTGTTGAAGCTACGAACAAAAATATCAAGAAGATCATTCAAAAGATGACAGTCACCTACAAAGACTGGCATGAGATGTTACCGTTTGCTCTGCATGGATATCGTACCACAACGCGTACTTCAACTGGGGCAACCCCCTTTTCTTTAGTATATGGCATGGAAGATATTTTACCCATGGAGGTTCAGATTCCTTCCTTGAGAATTATGAAGGATGCTGGTTTGAGTGAAGACGATTGGATTCAGACCCGGCTTGATCAACTTAATTTGATCGATGAAAAGCGACTTACTGCTGTTTGTCATGGTCAGGCGTATCAAAAACGGATGATCAAGGCTTTCAACAAGAAAGTCAGATGTCAGGTGTATCAAGTCGGAGATCTCGTAATCAAGTGGATCATCTTGCCGCAAAGCGATCCCAGGGGAAAATGGACTCCTACTTACGAAGGACCATTTGTGATCAAAAACATCTTTTCTGGTGGGGCTATGATTTTAACCACCATGGACGGTGATGACCTGCCGCACCCTACGAACGCAGACCTAGTCAAAAGATACTACGCATAAAAGACCCGACAAGTCGAAAACCCGAGAGGGCGACTTGGGCAAAAATGGGCATCCTGGTAAATCGAAAACCCGAAAGGGCGGTTCAGGCAAAAATTAGGGATAAACAAAATATCTGTACACCCGGCAAGTTGAAAACCTGAAAGGGCGACTTGGGCAAAAAAGGGTTTCCCAGTGGATCGAAAACCCGAAAGGGCGATCTAGGCAAAAGTTAGGGAATTAAAGCGTATGATTATGTCTCGTCGGATCACTTTAAGGACAATCTCTTCACGGACAAGCTCCAGGCTTCTGATCAATCCAATCATCTGCGGGCGAAGCAACAAATGGACAAGATACTCAGGGTTGTGAAGGCTATAGCAGAATGGGAACCCCATGGAATTGTTACACATAGCCATCTTTCTTTGTATAAATTTTCCTCAATTTTATGACAACATTCTCTTACTAGGATGTCTGTTTCCTTTGTACAAAATACTTATACAAAGTTAATACAAATATACTTCAAAGTGCAGAAAATTGTTTGCCTTTTCTTTATCTTTACACTTGAGTTTCATTTGAAAATGTCCAATGATTTATTAAAATGAGCATATGCATTTGAATATAACCACTGCTTACAAATGAAACTGAACGAGAAAAGAATAATTACTGATAGGGTGAAAGTATAGGAAAGTTATCTTTAGGCTGTTCCAGGAGAAATCCCTTGCAATACATCATCCAGGTCCTTGGCGGAACTAAAGCCTTGAAATGCATATCCCCTATCGAGCTAAGTCTCAAGAATTCCCATCAGAGTTAAGTTTTCAAACTCCCGATCCCCAGCGGAGCAAAACTTTGAACTATAAATCCTCAGTAAGGATGAAACTTTCTTCCCCAAGCGGAGCCAAAACTTCACTGTTTGACACACATTTTCATGTGAACGCCATTACTGAGTTTGATGTTTCTTCTTTATCATCATAATTTGACCAAGTGATTGAGAATCCCTTTTTCCGTTTCTTTTGTAAGGTAGGACACTCAGATTTGATGTGACAAAATCCTTCATATTCATAACATTTAGGATCATTTCCTTTTATGTAGATGTCTTCATCTTTATCCTTGTTCTGAGGACTGATGTCAGACACCTTGTCTTGACCATTTGCCATCCATTATCTACCAAGCCTTCTCAAATCTTCATTGAACTTTATAGAAACTAAATCCATTGCATCTAAAAAATTGTTTTCATTATCCTTATCACCTTGATCTATCTTCTCTTGAGTATTGGATACAAAAGCTACACTTTTGTTCTTATTCTCTAATATTCCATATATATGAACTTAAAAGGTTTGTAGGTACCCAATGATTTCATCAACCTTTAAGGTGCTCAAGTCTTGCGCTTCCTCTATAGTAATTATCAAACTTCTGATGCAAGGATCTAAGAATCTTTCTCACCAACTTCTCTTTTGACATCTTTTCTCCAAAAGCAAAGGAGTTGTTAGTTATGCCACACAATTAATGTTGAAATCATATATGGATTCATCTTCCATCATCTTCAAATTTTCAAACTCAATTGTGAGGAGCTAAAGCCTTGACATCCTGACCTTGGATGTGCCTTCATGAGAAGTCTTGAGTATCTCCCAAGCTTCTTTAGCTACGGTGCAAGTGTTGATTAGTCTAAACATATTATTGTCAACACCATTGAATATGGCATTCAAGGCTTTTTTTATTTCCAAGATATTCATCATGTTCATCTTTGTATCAATCAACTTCAGGCTTTAATTTTGTAGAACCATCTTGAGCAGTGATTACAGGATGTTTCCATCCTTCAACCACAGTCTTTCAAGAATTTTATCCTATGGATTTTAAGAAAGAAACCATCATGGATTTCCAATATTCATAATTTGTGCCATCCAAAAGAGGTGGCCTATTGATTGAAACCACACCTTTAGTCTTGTGCATTTGAACACAAAATATCCTCCCCAGAGCTCACTCAAACAGAACAGGGCGCCTGCTCTGATGCCAATTGAAATTACATTCCTAAGGGGATAGATATTAGACACGATATTGGCATAACTAGTCCAACAAGATAAACCAGATATAAGACACATATGGATAGTAATGCAGAGTCAATGTAAAAGCAGTGAATAATGTCATATAATGGTAACTCAGTTTGGTGCAAACAACACCTACATCTAGAAGACACTATACCAAAGAGAGGAAATTCACTACTTTGAATTAGTACACTTATTATTCCATGGACGTCACTCCCATGATGTACAATGCCTCTTCCTAATCCTAGTAAATTTCTATTTAGGTCTCCCCCTAAATATGATAACCCATCTCACTTTCTTTTAATCACTAATTCCAAGTGATCAACTTCAATGGAAACCCTAATAAATGTTGATATTACAACTTACTAAGACAAACCAACAACTATGTCAAGTTACTGAAAGTTATAGTTGTTATACCCTAATTTTTTCTCCTAACATGCTCATTCATAACATCATATGTACTAATATCCTAAACCATTCATTCATTTAAGCTTCTGTAGATACGGGATCAAATGGCTCTTTAGTATTAGGGTTCTTCCCTATGAATTAAGTTTGCTACCTTTCTCAAGTTGGTTCAATTGGTTCTCTCATTAATCTTGCTATGCAACTAGGGTTTTGGGTTACAAGCATCATGAATGTCTTCATGGACAAGATTCCTCAAGGGTTAAAGACTTTATCGTCTTAGATTAGGGTTTAGACCATATATTCAAGAATATCTGAGGAACACTCAAGGCATAGAGGATTATGGTTTTAGTTGAGGTTCATTGAATTAGGGTCGATTTTGTGGCTACTCTGATCAGCTTCCCTTCGACTCCTCAAACTTGAACCTCATTTAAAGACTTCTCCTAACTACTTGTGTTACAAACCAAGATCATACAGTTTTCCGTTAAAAAAAGATCGAGAAGCTTTAATTAAGGCATTAGGATCGTTTTAAGGCTTATGAATTAAGGCTTGTCTTCTTATAATGGTGTTTTCCATTTGGTTAAAGGTTTGATGCATTGTTTTTTTTATTGAATGAAGAAATGTCATATTGTTTAAGCTATGGATCAAGGTGTCACTTACCTATCCTTCATTAACTAAGGTTTTCTTCTCCAAAGATTATTCCAAGGCATTGCTTTGGTATTGGTTGTCGATGTCGAGGGCTTGTGAAGTGGATGGCATGAATCATGGTACAAGAAATGAAGTTGTGAGTTTCTTGTGATCAAAGAATTATTAGCTCTCTTGATTGTTTGTTGATTACAATATAAATTGACTTAAATCTCATATTGAATTGAGGTTTTTATTGAGAATTGAAGTGGGAACACAAATCGCTCAAAGCTATTTATTGGTTTTATTCATCGAAGTCTGTCAAGACCAAAGTTCTTCACTCAATTCCAATTCAAGTAACATTCATCATTTCAAAATTTCACCCATATGTTTAAAGATTCATCCAATATACCATTGTATCATTCAAGGAAAATTAAGAGCTTTTGTTAATCTAAAATAGACTTCATGGTCATTACAATTCACACCATGATCCACTCATGTTCAAGTGCTACTCGAATTCCAATTTTTTCGCACAAAAACCATTTAATATTATCATTACATCATTACCAAAATACATTGATTCCATTACAAAAATCTATACATGAAAACCTACAAAATCCAAAACCAAATTCCTAAGCCAATACATCTTCAAACTTCTTGGTTTCTTCAAACTCCAAAATGCATCTTCATTAATCCTTAATGAATCACAAGTTTTCTTCAAACAAGCCCCTGCATTGAAACCAGAAAATTCGGTTCAAATAAACCAGTACAAATAAATAGCGCTGCTATATTTACACTTGACTGGCCTGCATCCATTAACCAAGGCAACGAAATTAAATGAGAAAAATCACATGAACACAACCATTCGAGTACAAAGCCGAAAGACTTGGGCGACTGTTTTCTAAGTGAGGTGCATCGTGCGATAAAGAGGAAAAGGAAATTCTCTGTGAATGGAAGTCCAAGAGACACTTTGTTTCAACCCTAGAATTGCACGCACCGTTCCTCATTTGGCTTTATTTTCCAATTTTTTTGAAGCTGAATAATTGGACAGTAATGATGATTAATTGCTGGCATTAGGAATTGGTGATAGTTGGTGTATTGAAGGCTAAACACCTTGGGCCTTTCTACTGTATGCAAGCATTTTCCTAGGCCCGCGTCCGCGTTTTTTGAAGCCTTGAACTTTTAAAAAACAAAAATTAAGTTTTGGACTTGCTGTAGGGGCCTAGCGCCCTTACTTCTATACCCCGGAAATCAATTTTCCACACCCTCTGACTTTTCTAATTTCCTGTTTTCATTTGGTTTTTCTTTTGGTTTAATTTTTTTTCCCACTTTCTTAATGAAAAATTAGTGATGAAAAATTATAAAAATAAATAAAAATTTGTTAGGTTTTTTTTATTTGATTTTAGGAATTAATTCATGATTATCCGATTACTTGAAACTTTTGCTTGTCGAGTTGAGTCTTATGCAGATTTATTGTGTGACATGCGGATATGCTTGGGTTTCCAATTATGGTTTATTTTCACATTGATGATACCTCGAAACTTATTCCGAGCATTCGATTACTGATTATTTGTTTGTTAATGCTAGCTCGCACGAAGTATCCTGAGTTTCTTTGCTTTGGTTGTGCTTTTTGCGGACATTGTTGTTCGTTTGATATTATACTGCTTCCAATTTATCTTTCCGCATTTTATTTCCTTCTAGATATCATGATAAGTAGAATAATAAAGAGCATGCATTCGAAGTCGATGTTTGAAGACCTGTAGCATGCATTTCGCACTTGTTTGATAATTGTGTTGTGTTTGTTTTCATGGGTTGACGATCGATGATGCCATTCAATTAGAATTGAGATAACGACTTCGATCTTTGTATGCTCTCCTTAGGATTTTCATTTTCCTTTGTGGACGATCGATGATGTCACTCAATTAGAATTGAGATAACGACTTAGATCTTTGCACGATCCCCTTAGCGTCGGTCGGTTAGGGTAGCTTTCGAGCTAGACATTAGGATAGTTATCCATGCATGCTAACATATGAGAGATATTTCCCTTTTCATCCTTGATATAGGGCCATCATTGTACGATAACACTATGGATTAGATTCTTAATAGTTTCCCTTAGGTGTTTTCTTCCTATTTTGCATTATTGCATTTAAAACTAAAACTTCTTTTTCGTGGAAAATGTACAAGACATGCTAACCATACAAAATCCTTTTCATGGTAAAAGACAACAACTAATTCATTTCTTTTCGCCATTCGGCTTTTCTCTTCTAAGAATGTGTTGGTTCCTTTCTACTACAGTGTGTGAGTCTCCAATGGTCGAGCGACACTGGAATGATTGAATTTTACATTGTTCATTTAAAAAATACAAACAAACAGAAATTTGTGAGCCAAACTACGATGCTTTGATTCCTAAAAAGAGATATGTAGGCATCTGGTCATGGGGCTCAACCGAGCGAAACTTTGTAAATATTTCCTTCTTTTCCCTGTGTTTTCTTTGCATGCATTCCCTCTTTGCATTTTTCTTTTAGCTCTTAAGAATTAGATTGAACACACATTTTGATTAGAACAAGAGTGGATCCCGTAGAGTAGTACGGACGTGAGGGGTACTAATACCTTCCCCTTGCATAGTCGACTCCCATACCTGATCTCTCGGTCGCAAGACCTTGATTTCTCCCTTCAGGTTTTTCTTCGATGATTTTCCTTTCCCTTTATGTGGGATAAATTAATACTCAGTAGAAACTTCATTGATTTTACTTCTATAATAGTGATGTGCACAAATATTTTACCCTAACCTTTATTATGGCATTAGTGTGGGATACAGGTTACAAAGACTCAAACCCTAGCACAAAGATTCTAAATCTTGCGCACAAAATCTATATCTTAAATGTGAGACTGAGCCTTCTTATATAGCAATGTCTTATGGGCTTTTCTCCATTAGATATTTGATTTAATTTAGTCTAGAAAATAGTTGATTCAGTTGGATATGATCTTCTCCATGATTGTCTCCAACAATAAGATATGATTTGTTATATTTCAAAATCAAATTTAAATATTTATTTAAATTTGATTTAAACATCAAAAATTGTCAAACAAATCAAACAAACATTATTAAATTAACTACAACAAATCTGATTAAATACCAATTAGAAATTCCGCACCAAGCAACATCCATATGGCATGTTGTCAAGGCCAAATGTTGCATTACACACAAGTTGAAGCATTGTGTTTAACAAGTTGCACCAGTACACCAAATTAACTCTTCAACTTTAATGTGTAGATCTTCTTTGTAGAATGAAAATTGGATAAAATAAGTTAGAATTATAACTGCAATAACATTTGTGTGTTATAAGAGATCAGATGTTATAGCATACATATTGGAACATCGGTTCCACATGTGTCCCTTCTACACTAGAACTAGCTTGAACATCTTCAGATTAGAAACATCCTGTGATTACTTCTTAAGATGGTACAACAATTTTGAAGCCTGAAGTTGATTGGTCTCAAGATGAAGATGATAAAGCTATTGCAAATGACAAAGCCTTGAATGATATATTCAATGGTGTTGAGGAATACATGTTCAGACTAATCAACACATGTATTGAAGCTAAAGAGGCTTGGGATATTCTCAAGACTACTCATGAAGACATATCTAAAGCGTGTTCATGAAGACATATCTAAAGTGTGTATATTAAGGTTGCAGCTTCTCACAACTAAGTTTGAGAATATGAGAATGATGAAAGATGAATTCATATCTGATTTTAAATATCATACTTTAGGACATTGCCAAAAATTCATTTGCATTGGGTAAGAAGATATCAGAAAAGAAGTTGGTCAGAAAAATCCTCATATATTTTCCAAAGAAGTTTAACATGAAGGTAACAACTACTAAAGAAGTTCAAGATTTAAGAACCTTGAAGGTTGATGAACTTATTGTCTCTCTTTAAACCTTTGAATTGGCTATAAATGGAAGATCGTAAAATATGAACAAAGGTGTAGCCTTTGTATTCAACAATCAAGAATATAAATATCAAAGTGAGATGGATACTAAAGAAAGTATATCATATGTTATAGCTTTTATTGGAATAAAGTTCAAGAAAACATTGAGAAGACTTGACAGAAGATGGAGGACAAATGTTAAAGATAAGGTGTCAGACATCAATTCCCTGAGCAAGAGCAAAGGTGAAGACAAACCTAATAGAGACAAAGGAGCACAATTTTATGAATGTGAAGGGTTTGGTCACATCAAAGTTGAATGCCCTACTTTTCTAAAGAAACACAAAAAGAGATTTTCAATCACATATTCTATTTTTGATGATGAAAGTGAAGGAGAAACAACTAATAAAGTGATGGCTTTCTCTAGTAAGTATGATTCTGAAGGTGAGTCTAATGGTGAAGATATGAGTGAGAAAAAGTTAGCTTCAACTTATAGGCTTCTTTACAGAAAATGGGAGGAAGTTGGGTTGACTATTGAGAAATAGAAGAAACCATAGGTGTGATATATAAGAAAAAAGATAATCTTGTCTCGACCATAATAGGTCTGGAAGAGGAAGTTACTTTGTTAAATTCCAAGCTTGAACATATGACAAAATTTGTGCGTATGTTGAACAATGGTTCAAATATGCTAGATGAAATCTTGGAAGTTGGTAAGATTTCCAGGAATTTGAAGGTAATATGATTTGATTCCAGTTTCATGAATAAGAAAAAAAAACCTCATCTAAGAAGTTTATCACTCTTGAGAAGAAAATTGAGTTTTTCATGGTGGATCACATGTCTCAGCAATTTGTTTAACATGTGTCCCCTCAACACAAAAATTACAAGAACTCTGCTTGGAGATGTCATCATTATGGAAAATATGGATACATAAGGCCCTATTGTTATAGGTTGTATGGATATCCTCAATTCTATAGTCAACCAAGACTTAAAAGAACAGGGGGAAAAAGGTTTAAGCAAAGAAAGTGTGAAAACCCAAGGTACCATCCATAAGACTGATTGCTCATACATCTCTTAGAGTTTCCTCAAGAGAATTGTTATTTCTATGAAATTATGATTGTTTTACATTTTTATACAACCATTTTAGCAGCAACATGTTAAACAAGATGTTCCAACTTTCTATTTTCAACATGGCGAAAAGGATATCCCAACAAGGAGTTAGGACATCGTGTCTACAACAAGCTGATAGTGTGGATCAACTGATTTAAAGCTATTGGATATTCAGGGAGTATTCAGTTACCTTATGTGGCGTCCAAGATTGACAAATAAAAATATTCTTTGATTGGTTTTCTAATATTTGATTAGTTTCTAAATATGGATATTTGTTAGGAAACTAATGATTGAATATTGATCTGCTGTCGCACGTGGATCAAAACGAGTGTTTTTGCGAAACGGTTTCAAAACTGTAGTATTTAACAACAACTGTAAATCGGATATCGTTCTCACAAGGATTCTTGATTTTATTTAAAACAGAAATCAAATTGGGGGGGGGGGGGGGGGTGGTTTTAAGGACGGTTTATAAAAAAACAGAAAATAAGCGCTTAAAATAAGTGATTATGAAATAAGTCGATCTACTGTTTCGGGTTCCTACTATCATCGATTAATACAATTTAACTCCCCTAAGCGTATTCCTATTCAAATTCAATCACAATTTCATCAAACAAGCGAGAATGAAAAAAATAAGAATTATGTTCCCTTTTCACCGAATTAAGCAAACAGTTAATCAACAAACGGAATAACGAATTAAGCATACGATATTGTGATCGGTGGATCTGGAACTGACTGTTTAACGCTGGTTCGCGAAATGTCGCGGAAGCAAGAGTCGCCACCGTCTTTTATTTTCTCCAACATGGAAAGGACAAAAGCACAGCAAAATTCCTTATGATATAGTTTCTCGGTTCGGGAGGTAGATTTATAGAAAGGGAAGGTGTTAGCACCCTTTCTATCTATGGTTATCCATGGGCTCTTAGATACTTGCTCATTGTGTTTTCAAAAGTGTTTGCTTTTCAAAGTGTGAGTG